AGATCCTCCTACTAGGGCGGCAGTTCCTCAACGAAACGGCGACCGCCAGAGCTCCGGCCGTGATCAAGCCCGAAGAGCTCCAGGGTCTGAAGGATATGGGCATGGGCGCGCGATTACGATTGCAAGCGCAGGTGACGAAACGAGACCTTCTCGTTTACCCGGGGTCGCTGCAAGCACAGATGATCATGCGCGCCGCACCGGCAGAGGAGCCTCGGCGGAAGGTGTACATGGCGGCCAACGCCAGTTCACCGGAGCAAGTAGAGGTTCTGGAGAAGCTGCTGCGAGCGCGCGGGGAGCTGGCCCGACTAGTGGGGAAGAGCAGTTTCGCGCATATGACATTAGGCGATAAGATGGCGAAGTCACCGGGTGCGTATTGACAGTTGTGCATCTCGGCGATGACTGAACCTATTGCGTCTACTAGAGAACGTCCAACGATTCCTAGATGCGCTCTTAGACCACACCCGACCATACGCTAGAAGCGCACTACGCACGCTCAGTGTGCGGAAGCAAGCGCACCTTCATACACCACCATACCCTACCATCCAAGCCTGGGACAGAGATTACTACTGTCCCCCAGAACCTCCCGCACCCCCTGTCGCGCTACCTCCACTTACTCTCGGCACTGTCTTCATGGGTCTCTCGAGACTATTCCAGAACCTCTACGGGATATCTCTACGACTAGCGGACGTCACTCCTGGAGAAGTATGGCATAGCGACGTCCGGAAACTAGAGGTGGTAGACGAGGACTCCGGTGTGCTCGGGTGGATCTACGCCGACCTCTTCGCGCGGAAAGGCAAGCCCAGCGGCGCCGCACATTATACTGTGCGATGTTCGCGCCGCGTGGACGATGACGACGTTGAGGGCGACCTCGTCTATGCTAACGAGTACGACAAGGCCGCCATGCAGACGTCTCGCGTCTTCGAGGCCGCTCACAGGCGGCAGTTCTCCGGACAGGAGGGCACGTTCCAGTTGCCGGTAGTCGTGCTGCTCTGCGAGTTCGCGAGACCAACCGTCGGACGCGGGCCCACCGTGCTAGAATGGCACGAAGTCATGACCCTCTTCCACGAAATGGGACACGCGATGCATTGTACGTCGACAGCTTTTGTACATACATGCATTACTCATAACTTACTGTAGCTATGATCGGCCGCACCGAGTACCAGAATGTATCCGGTACCCGCTGCGCTACCGACTTCGTCGAGCTCCCGTCCATCCTCATGGAGCACTTCCTCAACTCCCCCGCCGTCCTCTCCCTCTTCGACCCTAACGGTTCCCTTGACATCCGCCAGACCGGGAACCACCACGAAGATCCCTGCCGCTCCATCGACACTCACACCCAGATCATGTTAGCTTCGCTTGACCAGATCTATCACTCACCTACAGTGCTGGATTCGCGATTCAACTCGACGGCTGCGCTGGCGAAGCTGTATGAGACGCGTGGGCTTATTCCATACGTACCGGGAACGTCGTGGCAGACTCAGTTTGGCCACCTGTTTGGGTACGGGGCGACGTACTATTCCTATCTCTTTGACCGCGCCATAGCCTCAAGAGTGTGGCGGAAGCTCTTTTCACATGACCCCCTGAACAGGGAGACCGGGGAGAGGTACAAGCGGGAAATCTTACGCCACGGTGGTGGGAAGGATCCGTGGGCAATGGTGAGCACACTACTGGATGCGCCTAGATTGCGGAGTGGGGATGCGGAGGCAATGGAAGAAGTAGGTATGTGGAGGATAGAGGATGATGTATCAGTACCTGGACGGCATTAAGAGCCATCACCCTGACGGACACCAGTCAACTTCATTGGTGCGACCTTCAGGCTTGAAGCTTGAGGCCTTGGGGACTCCGCATATTGAGCTCCTTCGTATTTGGTTTGGCTTCAGCGGACTACGGCACGGCAGTAGAGCACAAACAGGGACCTTTACGAAGCAGCTCAGGCTTCGACGGCGCGGGCAATATATTACTAATAAAAATAGGGCTAGGAGGTGGAACAAGGACGGGATACGGCGTCCAAAACCCAGCAGAGATAGAGAAAGCTATGGCTACACATTCGGGATTGGGTATAGGGCAGAGCGATACCAGACAGCGGACGACAGCACGAATAGAGATGACGCAACTAGAAGATCAGCGCAGAAGTGTCGAGAGGCAATGTGAAATCGACAGATGCCAGAGGAGCCTTGTGCTTGAACAGGGGATCCGCGGATAGGTTGGGAATCAGTGCCGCACCAGAGAACGAGACGGAGTAGTCCATGTAGCCGTCATCAAGTCCATTCATCGCCATACTGTCCCAATTATTTTGATCAGAGTACAGGCCGAATGAGGGATCCTCCGATACAAGGATGTCGGGCATAGATGTCGGGAGCAATGGGGGCGTCAGCAGTATGTCCCAATCAGAGGACGAGCTCGACGCCGAAGAGACGGAGCGAATCGAGGACAAGGACGACATACGCGACAGCGTAGCCATGGGGCCTGGAGATGGGCTGCGCGATGGGGTGCTAGGTTCGGGAGAGGACGTAGATGGACTGGGAGAGGGGGCAAACGAAGTCGACGAGGAGACTGACCAATCGAGGGACGGTGTTGGGGAACCTGCAGGGCGAAAGCGGCTCAGGGTCTTCGGAGTACGTTTCGGCAATGCGATGGCTCTACGGCCAGACGACCTCCTCTTCGCGTACGGTTGACCGAACGGCTCGGTACTCAACGGGCGACGGATGTCGGTTTCATTCGCCAGCCCGTCGTGTCTCGGTTCAGCTGAAAGAATGGCAGGAGAGTGCATGCTATGGGGGAACAGGGATTCAAGCTCGTGTGCCGAAGACTCAAGTACACCCCGAGCCCTGGAGACCCTGGAAGCTTTCGCTTTGTTCGACGCGCGCCTTCCCGCGACCCTTGCGTGATCCGGTGATGCCTCCATTTTCAACGTAGCCGGCAAGGCTGTCGAACTCGACGTTGCACGCGGAGAATATCGTTGACTGCAACGACGGACAGGCTCGACCGATATGTCGGGTTGTGAACATGTGCCCGTGCGTAGGAGGGCTGGTAGAGGAGCAGATGGCGGAAGAACCGTGAAGCCTACTGTCGAAGCGGAGCCTGTCTTGAGTCGATGCGTTGGCGGGGCATGTTCGAACACCATGCCCTCCTCGCGAAGGGTGAGCTGCTCGAGGAGAGCCAATACTTCTTCGGAGGAGTCACTGCAGGCGAGCTCTTTACGTGATGGTGTCGGCAATCGGAACCAAGGGGTTGCGAGCTTGCGCGAGTCTCGTGCAATAGGGAAGGGGTCGTATGAGCATAATGGGGGATAACAGACTGGGAACGCATGTTGCGGTCGCTCGGACTTGAACGGTCCAAACGAAGGTATGGCACCCGCGTGCATGTCTTCCTACAGAGATATCTTAGCTCTGGTAGCTCGACCAAGACAAGCATCATACCTCAGCGCCATGCATGTGGGCGTCAATGGCATCTACCACGTACTTGTCTAAAATTCTCACTAGAGAAGCAGCTAGATCGGGGGGCAGCGATACGCTTCCTTGACTGGCTTCGATATGGCTCGACATTGGTGTGGCCTTCTTGGATCGACTGCGTCTATTTTGAAACTATTCATGTTGGGTATAATACCAAAAGATAGGCAATGACGTACTCACCCAAATGTTGATTTGCTTGTACTCCATATCGGTTTGTTTTGCAAGCTGCTGCTTTTCAGCCCGCGTAGGGCGAGGATTGCACTGAAATACTCGTTCTAGAATCGGTACAGCAGCCTAGATATAAGAGATCAAGTCAGCAAGGCAATGACGAGCATACAATTACAATTACCTGTTTGAAAGGAGGCTTAGATGGAGGCGTTGGTGACTGTCTCCGAGAAGCCGTAATGTGCTGAATACGTGACGACACCATGTCCATGATGGCACTCCGCCAGCTCTCCAGCACCTTTAAGTATCGAGATGCCATGACGGACGTAAACATAGAGGCTAGGTGCTTGGAAGTAGCGCGTCCAGTGGGGTCAACCCGTGCTGAGCTTTGCAGCGCACGGTTACACTGTGTTTCAGTATGACTCTTGAGTTGCATGGCCGTTCGGTGGTAGGCGCGAGAGATCTTCTCAGCGAGTTTTGGTGGGAGACCCTGTGCAGCGAGGTCATTGCTGATGGAAGTCGGCGAGGGAAAGGCATCTGGGGAGGGCGTATGGGGGTAGCCGTAGTTACGAGGTTCGACGGGCTCGACTGCAGAGAAGTCGTAGTCTTGCTAGCAAGTGCCCGCGCACGCGACGCTATGCGCTGCAGAGCAGTAATTTCAGCACCGAGATGCATGACAGGATAGATCAAGAGGCGAAAGAGGTACGAGCTATCACCTATCGCTCTGGTCGCGAGAGTACTACGTCGGAGTCTCAATCGACCATGGCCAAATAATTGGGCGTCACCGGCGCTACAACAACTGCCATTTATATCGAACCATAGGAACCGTGACGTGATATTGATTGCCTTATACAGGGGACAGTGCTGCTAGTGTCACTGTCTTGTGGTTGTGCTCTCTCAATGGACGCCGTCTGCTAATCTCGGCGTCGCAACGACGTGGCGCTGGAGAAGCTGCCGGAAATTGGTAGCCATAGCATCAAACATGCGTTTTAATCACAGTAAATACGTGGTACAAGTAAATGTATAAGTAGACGTGGCATCCAGTGTGGCACAAACCAGATCAGGAAGCCCCTATCCGGATAAGTATAGTAGCGGAGAGATCTGGTTTGCGAACAATGGCATGATCTGTGGACAATGAGCACGATCCATGGCATTCCATCAGGCGTATTGGATTGTACTATATAATGATACTTACAGCCTGCTTACAGCGACGAGCCAAATATTTGGACACACGTCGTGCGAAAAGTCACAGACGCCGGGTTCCAGGTTACATATCATGTACACGGGGTTTGTGTGGTACCTCAACATTGCTCGCCCTCTAGTCGTCTACTATGATCTCCATCCGCGACCGCCTGCTAAAAACGGAGGATGACTTTCTCTCAGCTGTTGTAGACGGCGACTCTGCCATCGAAACTTTCTCTTTACGATGGACCACTCTTCGTGAAGACATCACCGCTGCAGTCGCGCAGACCTCCTTAGACGAGGATACGTTGTGCCTGGTCCACGACGTGTTCTCGAGGATGGAGCTGCTCGCTTCCTCTTTCTGCGATATATTCGTTGCTTCCGAGGACATTCATGCAAGCATGGACTCCGAACTCGCCGACGTCTTCGCCCATCTAACTCTAAGCGATGTCGAGACCAAGAACAGCGTTACAGCGCATGTCGAGGACTTCGCGCCACCGATGTACGGCGACGTTGAGTCGTTCGACGCTGACTTGTACTTTGACATCGGTATGTTACTTAGACTCTGCTGAGTCATTCCAGCCCGTTCATTTCCTCTCATCGCAGAAGATTTTTTGCCGAGCTCCCCAGAACCTTCTCTCGTCTCCGACTATTCGTCTTCAGACTGTAGTGACGACGATGACTTGCCGAGCCCTGTCATTGGCAAACGCGGCACTGAAGGCCGTGGCGAAGAGTGCTGCAAGCGGCATATGCGGAAGCGACCTCGGTAAGACAGGATGCCCATCTTATGGCACTATGCTCACGGCAGTCCCTAGATCATCGTACCGCTCACCGGAGGATACACCGGACGTCTCTCCTACTTCTTGGCTTTGGGATGAGCCCGACGAGCATTGCGTGTCCCAAGACTCTGCTCCTCACGAAGCCATCTCTACCGTCCGCACGATCAGGCCCCTGCCGCCACGCAAGAATTTTGTGACTTCCGATGGCGTTATCGCGCGGCCATTGGCCCTGCAGCGTAAGCGTCGTCTATCTGATGCTGAAGTTCAACCCCTTCCAAAGCGACCTCGTGGCTGTGGCGCTGTGGCCAGAGGCCAGACCGTGTCAAATCCTCTACCGAGAAGAGGCAACGAGCTGGAGGAGCAGACGCACAACATCGATGATTGGTTCACGACATTTGCCGTCGTCGAACCTGCCACATTTGAACCACCGGAGCGCAGAGCGTCGATGGTCATCGAAGTATTCACTGGTTTCCGCGGCTCTACTACAAGAGTGTATAACAAGCCGGTGACCTCTCAATCCGCGGGTGCGTTTGATATCTTTACGACTGCTGATAACTCACTCACCCTTTGTCTATGCCGATCACAGCGGTCGATTCTTCTTCAACCGAGTGCTCGCAACAGTCGGCCATTTCTGCAATCACCCCCCGTGCTTCTATTAGCATGGCCTGTGGTGCTGATGGCGCTGTGTCCTCAACTTCGACGAATGCGGTCGATGTAGAACCGTCCCACACGCAAGAAGAGGCTATCAGTGCCCATCCCTCGCAGGATCCAACGCCACTTTCTGCGACTCCGTCGACAACGTCGTTCTTGCTGGATGGTCCTGTACCTCCAAAGCTGGAGATGTGCGATTCTCCAGTGACTGCGGCAGTCTCGCTCACGTCGGATGTGTCGGACTTGGCTCGATCCCTCTCAGGTATCTCACATGAGATCGTACATCGTCCCGACGAGCTTTCAAGCAACTCTGTCATATCCCAATCTGTGGCCCCTGTGTCACGCGACCGATCTCCTACCCCTCCTCCTTCGTTTGAGAGTGCGACGACCTCTCCTGCTTGTGATCCTCCTGGCTATTCTGTGCTTGATCTATTTCCACCAACGGGCTCTCTCACACCTCCACCACCATACCGCCACTCACCTGAAAAAGAGCTTCCTTTGATCCTGCCGATCAATGACAAGCCACTAGACGCGGGCGCCCTCCTTGCCGAGTTGCTCCCTCTCGTCCTCAGTGGGACGGTGCGCGAATACCCAGAGGCATCTCCACAGCATGTACAGGTTCCATGGGCGGGCCTTGCGATTTCCGTTTGAGTAAGTATCAAGGTCTGTTTCGTCTTCTGTCGGCGTTCTGACAAAATCGCACGCAGGCCTTTGGCTCTTACCCGGACTGCGTATCCTTATACTATGTATCACTGGCTTCGGTATACCCCTCTGTTTTCTCACTAGCATAGCGTCCTGTAATCACTGTGCTGCGCACTTGCAGCGTGATACCACTATTGGCGCTGTCTTGGGGAAAGATGCAACTGTCCACCGTGCTCGTTTTGTCTGAATGCGACTCAGAGTTTCGAACAAGACGGTCCAGCTAAAGCATTGCGATCGCGATCGTTGTGGTGGCGAGTGTGGTCGCTGGCGGCTGAACGAATTGCCCAGTGGCATCTAAGCCACTCGGCGCCGCCATTGGCCATGCCGAACACAGCCAAGCCATAGCCGAGGAAGGGCGCGTGCAAAACTTGAGATTAATGTCAGATTGATCAACGAGTGGCATGCTGTGGTGAGCAAATCGAAACAAACAGACTCTACAGGGTCTTGCATATTTTTTTGACGGTCGCCTCGCGCGAATTCTTGTTTGTTCCGACCAAAGTCAGCCATATCCGGTAGGTGTTGAGCCCAAGCCGCTCCACACGTGACATGCCTGACCGTGCTACCTGCCGGATTTGGGTGCCTTTGGTTGGAACAAACAAAGATTCGCGCGAGGCGACCGTCAAAAAAATATGCAAGACCCTGTAACTGAGGTACTTCGCGTGGCGTGTCGGTGGCGGGGGCTTTGAAGGGAACCTAGAACCTGCCTAAAAGGGGAAATGTCGTTACTCATCCCTCATGACTACAGTCGACGGCTGCAGCTGCCGCGGGGGGTTCGGTGCCCCTGGAGCGTTGGCGGGCCTACGGATGTGCTCGGCATTGTCACTTCGGATGCGCGAGGTACTCATAGTGCATGGGTCTCCATCCGACCCACCCGGATGTGACCAACTATATAACCAGGGGTCCTGCACGCACCTATGCCCGCTGTACCTCCGCCTTACCCATGGCATCCAATGACTCCCAAACACAAGTAGCTGAGCCTGCGCTTGACGCCCCCAACGCCGCTTCCGCTCCAGCGTACGAGCATGACCGTCAGTCTCATGACAGCGGCCGAGAGGCCACACTGACCTCTGGCCTGCACGACGCAGAAAAGGCCAACAAGTCATCGCCTGAGAAGCAAGAGCGCGCAAGCGAAGATGACGGGGCCACCATAGTTGACTAGGAGGGTCCGGACGACCCAGCCAATCCGAGAAAGTGAGACCTATAACGCTTTGTCAATCATCAGTAGATACCTGAACATAGACGTCCAGTTGGTCGACGAAGAAAAAGTGGGCTGCCGCGGTCACTGTGTCGGCATTTACCTTCATCTCGCCAATATCGTCGTCTATGGTCGCGCCGGCAGCCGAACAGATCGCTGAACAGTTCCACATAACGAGCGGCGCCATAACCAGTCTGACCGTATCGGTATTCGTTCTTGCCTATGGTGAGAACTTTGATTTTCCATCGGTGGCTTGAGAGCTCACGCACCGTCGTTAGCCGTCGGACCGCTCTTTCTAGGTCCTCTGAGCGAGATGTTTGGACGCGTTCATGTCCTCCGTGGCGGAAACTTGTGGTTTACTGGTCAGTCGATTCACACCTCATCGTGCGGTTCAGCCGCCGATTTACCACTTTATATCTGCAGCATGGAACCTAGGCTGTGGCTTCTCGCAGAACACTGGCCAGCTGATCGCGTTCCGTTTCCTCGCAGGCCTTGGCGGCAGCGCACCCATGGCAGTAAGCACCCTTGTGTTGAGAGCGTAGGCGCACCAACTAACCTTTGCCCTAGACTGGCGGTGCCGTCCTCAGTGACATGTGGCTACCAGAGCAGCGTGGGCAGGCCATCGCTATCTACTCTCTGGCACCTTTGTTGGGTCCGGTCATTGGTCCAGTGGCGGGAGGCTGGATCGCAGAGCGGTCTACCTGGCGATGGGTCTTTTGGGCAACGACTATCGTCGCTGCATTGGTTCAGCTCTGCGGACTTATCTTCCTGAAAGAGAGTGAGTGTCTCCAATAATACGCTATGCCTTAGCTCTGACCTTGTGTCCACTACAGCATATGCTCCGATACTCCTGGAGCAGAAGGCAGCCCGCATACGCCAGGGAATGGATCCCGAAAAAGGTGCCGTTCGGGCGGTCCGTAGTGCGCAATCGACCGGTAAACAGCAGTCAGTCCGAACGATGCTCACCACACCTCGCCACTGACTGCATGTGCAGCATGGGAGCCCTATGGCAGAAGTCGCTCACCCGTCCGTTCATCATGTTCGCGCATGAGCCCATCATCCAGCTGTTCGGCCTGTACATGGCCTTCATCTACGGTGTCATCTACTGTACGTACCGCGTTTTCACCGACATGGACAGCGAGCCTCATGATGACCTACAGTGGTATTGACGACCATTCCGGGTATCTTCTCTTCCGTGTACCACGAGGATGTCGGTATCGGTGGTTTGCACTACATCGCCCTTGGCCTCGGTACGTACCTTGTGTTAACGGCGCGTTGTCTACCTACCTGACGTTCCCGCGCAGGACTGTTCGTTACCACGCAGATCAATGCCCGAGTGATCGACCGGATATACCGAAGGATGAAGGAGCGTAACGGCGGAGTCGGCCTACCTGAGTTTAGATTGAGTATGTCCCACGTCGCAGCTGCGGTTACCTGCAACCTACTGACACGCATGAATGTTAGTAACTGTGTTCCCGGGCACAGCTTTGATTCCAGTTGGACTGCTCATGGCGGGCTGGGGAACGCACACTCACTGGATCGTCGTGGATATCGTGCGTAGACCACCCTTGTCAGTCGAATAGCCACCTACTGACCTACCGTCTCACAGGGTCTCGCAATGATCGGCTCCGGGATGATCCTGACGTTCCAGGGAATGCAAACCTACGTTATCGATGCCTTCACCTTGCATGCTGCGTCAGGTATGCTCCTCGACACCTACCGTATGTGACCGTCCATGCTGATCAATGTGAACAGCGCTTGCGGCCGTCTCGTTCCTCCGCTCAATAGCGGGTTTCGGTTTCCCGCTATTCGCGCCTGCGATGTACAATGCGTTAGGCTATGGCGTGGGTGATACCATCCTGGCCGCGGTTGCGGTTGTCGTGGGACCACCAGCGTACGTACCTTAGCACCATGGCCCGACGATGACGTTAGCTAACAAACCGTGATTGTAGGGTATTCACCTTCTGGAAGTACGGCGAGAGAATCCGCGGCATGAGTCGGCACGCTCGACGCGCGCCAGTCAAGAAGTGAGAACAGCGAGCGAAACAGGACACACGTCCTCGAGGCTGCACACAGCCGGAGCTTCAACGCTCACCTTCGCAGTGTCCGGTCATGATACCATACCGGCATTCTACTGCAGTGCCAACTAATGAGGGACGCACCTAGATTCGCAATGTCCATACGCGTTCGGTACCCAGATGCTAGGTTAGCATGGGACAGACCACCATACTGCATAGCATCATTCTTCTGCTACCATCTCATGGGACTTTTCTTGATTAGCATGGATTGACGATCGCACCTACATACGATACCTAGCATGGCATGTCAGTGTACTTACCTTGGCGTCGCTGTTAATCTGCAATGAAATCGATCTTTACGCCGCATGGACGATTCAAACCAATCAGTGAGCGGGGTAACTGGCGAAGAGCCAGGCATACGTAGTGCATCACAGGTTAGACGAGAGTATGTCGCTCACCTCGATATGCTAATGCTTGAAAATGGGGAGTGGCACACTCATGAATTCTGGCGGCTGTGCTCACCTGGCTCGCATGCATATCGTATGTTGTGTCGCTCGCATGTCCAGCGGAGTATATTAGGGGATAATGGAGGAAGGGGGACACGGCAAGAACGAAGCAGGATGGAGGTTGCGCAATGGGGGGAGGCGGGTGCACCGACCGACGGGTACGGCTTATGTGAGACAGGCCGCGCATGCCTTTTACCTCATTCCTTATACAGAGAACAATGGCCAAATCATTGGGCAGGTCGGCTTGCCCGAGGGCCAAAGCGATACTGGCTGCGAGGGCCAAAGCGTAGTGCTGTAGTGGTCAGTTACAAGAGTCCGATACAACGAGTGTGACCGCATCAGAGCGATGTAAGTGGAGGTACTGACCGTCGATTAGGAACGTAACAAACGTTTACTGATTGTCACGTTGTCGCGTTATGTCACAGCGTTACCTGACGCGGTGGTGACATGGCTGGTGAGCACTCCCTGCCCCCAACCTGCTCCCCTCGTCCACTATCCTTGTCGGCATTGTCGTCGCATTGCCGAGTCAAAGCTACTGATAAAGCGCTTATTACTTTGAGAAACACGTTGTTCACAGCTCGCTCACCATGGCCGTTCAGAGCCACATTGTGAGGCGCGTCTCGCTGGACCACCTACCGAACGAGCTTCTTTTCCAGATCGTGTCCTACTTTGGAGACCAAAAGGCCTTTCCGAAACGATACCGCATTTTATACACGCTCTCACAGCTCAGTCGTCGCTTCCGCACTTTTGCGCTGTTGGTTCTTGCCGAAGAAATATCCGTTGCTACGTGCGACCAGTTCACGGCCGTCGTTTCTTCTCTCGAAGCAAATGGTCGTGCGGGCTATGTCCGGTATGTGTCTCATTCGCTCAGACGTCTGCTCATGCTCAAGCGAGAATAGACGCGTGCGCATAGGCCATTCGACGGAGCCGTCACCGTACATCGACACGTTGCCGGTGCTTTGGTGCATGCGCCGATCTGGTAGCTTGCGCGCGCTGAGGTCCTTCTCCTGCTGGCAAGGCATCCTTACCAATGCACATCTGCTGCTCCTCGAGGGATCGCTGCACCTCACCGACCTCAGCGTCGTGCTCTATGAAGATGCCATGCCCGTGGACTTCGGGCGCTGGCACCAACTGCGCACGCTGCGCGTCGAGTTCTGCGCGAAGACTGCGCCCTTCGGCTGCGCAGTCACATTCCCCTCCTACGCCAACCTCACCACGCTCGCCGTCAACGATGCCGTAGGGTCGGAATGGCTGGACGCCCATCTTCGCCATGCGCACTTCCCAAGCCTTCGCGTTCTGAATCTGCAATATGCGACATCGCCGCCATGGCTCGTCTATCAATTCATACACAGGCACCCGACCCTCCTTGAGGTCAACGTCGGCTTCGACCCGAACCTGGATCACTGGCTTGCCTTCGATCGCCTTCTGAAGCTTATCCATGGTACAGGGACGTGGGGACCTGAGTCGGGCACCCCAGGGTCCATGCATGACGATCCTATCTT